AATAGGGGGGGAACTTCTGTCCCCCTCCCGGCCCCCACCCCTAAGTGGTGGGTGGGGGCCCTAAATACTAAAAAGGGGGGGACCTAAGGTCCTCCCCCCCGGCCCCCACCCCTGAGCAGTGTGTGGGGGCAAATAAATCACAATGGGGGGGACCTTAGGTCCTCCCCACTGGCCCCCACCCCTGAGCGGTGGGTGGGGGCCCTAAATACTAAAAAGGGGGGGACCTAAGGTCCTCCCCCCTGGCCCCCACCCCTGAGCGGCGGGTGGGGGCGCTAAATACTAAAAAGGGGGGGGACCTAACGTCCTCCCCCTGGCAACCACCCCTGAGCGGTGCGTGGGGGCAAATAAATCACAATGGGGGGGACCTAAGGTCCTCCCCCCTGGCCCCCACCCCTGAGTGGTGGGTGGGGGCCCTAAATACTAAAAAGGGGGGGGACCTAATGTCCTCCCCCCCGGCCCCCACCCCTGAGCGGCGGGTGGGGGCCTAAATACTAAAAAGGGGGGGGACCTAATGTCGCTGCATAGCGAGTAGGGGCAGAATTTACTAATACTAAGTAATCTTTACTTAGTATTAGTAAATGTGGCTGAAAGACCAATTTAGGTGACCAATTTAGGTCTTTCAGCCTTTTAGTAGATAGCTCTCTAATACCGTGGGAATTAGGGAGTTATCTACCAAGCGGCTGCAAGATGCAGCCACGGATCGGAGTTTGCCTGCCACAGTCCAGGTGTTAGTCCCCTTGAAACAACTTTTCCATCACTATTGTGGCCAGAAAGAGTCCCTGTATGTTTTAAAATTCGCCTACCTATTGAAGTCTATGGCGGTTCGCCCGGTTCGCGGGTTCGCGAACATTTGCCGAAATTCGCGTTCGCCGTTCGCGAACCGAAAATTTCATGTTCGCGACATCACTACAGTCAGTATGAATAATTTTCTGCCATAAATAACAACCAAACCCCTTGGTCACTGTAGAATTTATTGACCAATTGGTTAATTAAAATTTATGAGATCCAAGTGCCGCTGTCATTTAATGAATGAGATAGGTGGCTTAGACTTATAAGTAATGCTTATAGAACCCTCTTCCTCACTGCATTACACAGATTAATGGCTATCAACCAATAAGTGTTCCCAACCCTCACTTCATCTCTCTCCCTTACTCTGTGGATTTGTAAGTGAAAAGATGCATGGGGTAGCACCTAGTCACTGTTCACATTACCCCTAATATCTGAACCAATTATTCTATTTAGAAATAAAATAAATAGAACTTCTTCATCACTCAGTGATGAAGTAGAATGATGTCTACTATTTATAGACATTGTGTGTAATGGAAAAGCCTGAATGCAAGTATAGTCCCTGTCCTTTGTCCCTTAAAATGCCCAAACCACCTCTCTCGTACTTACAGCCAGATCTCCCTCACTGACAACAATGTTTTTGTACGTATAGCCAGAACTCCCTCATTGATAATGTTTTTGTACTTATAGCCAGAACATACACAGACTACATTTTTTTTGGGGTATGTTTGTAATATCTCCCCCCACAAAAACATTATCTCAACGAAACTTATCTTCACTATAATGAAATGATTTTGATGCATAGATCCAGACCCTGCTCAGCACTGTTGTCATGTTTACTTCCCACAACCATAGTGGTAGTCAGTCAGATAGCCAAAGTAGGGTCTCTGGTGGGGTGTGTGCCCACTGCTTCTTTGGGGGCATTCAGACTAGTGAAAAACCCTATGTTAATTTACAGTAGGATAGGTCTATATTTTCTGCATAAATATACTATAAGCCTGTAAAATATTTATATATATATATATTTTTTTATCTTATAGAAGACAACCAAATTTAGACAAACAATCAAAAAGGCAAAAAAAAAAAAAAGATTAAAACCATCAATATAACTGCTATTAGTATGGATAAGCTGGCAGTATATTGTGATAAAGGCACTGAAAAAAAAATTTGGCATCAAATGATTCCACAAATAGTTCAGTGTTTCCATTGAAAACCATCGTACACCCGATGTATATTCAATCGCACTACATTTGACCATTGCCAATCACTCTCAAAGAGTTAACACCAGAAATTTCCATGATATAATTGTCACATTGATAGAAGAAGAAAAAAAAAATATATAAAGATATAAATAATTATAATACAAATAATACATCCTCTGAGACTCGATAAGGGGGAACCACAATATGTCATCATGAATTCTGTCTGTTTGTCCAGGGTAACCATAGTTTGGCCACATCACTAATACCAAAAATAAAATATATATTTTAAAGTCACTTGTCAAAGTCTTGATTGAAGATCTTCTTTCTTTAATGTTCTTTCTTCAGCCATAATATTGCCAAAAAGCCCAATTATAATACAAGCAATAAAAATAAAATTAAAATACAATATAAAAGAAACTCAAAACATTAGCATTCAAGCCCTACGCGTTTCGTTCAAAATCCAAACTTCCTCAGGGGCAAAGAAAATCACAATAAGTCTCCTAATGTGCATCTCATTATGCACATTAGGAGACTTATTGTGATTTTCTTTGCCCCTGAGGAAGTTCAGATTTCGAACGAAACGCGTAGGGCTTGAATGCTAATGTTTTGAGTTTCTTTTATATTGTATTTTAATTTTTTTTTATTTTGGTGCTGCTTAAATGATCCCATCAGCGTAACAAAATTTGTGAAGGTGTTCCAGTTTGCTGGCATCGAGTTGTCTATTTATGATGTGCCCATTTATTGCTTCTATCCTGTAAGTGCAATATTTATTAAAGGTTTACATTGTTTTAGAAACTCTGCACTATTATTTCTTATTTTTTTCTCCTATATGCTGCAATTCCAATACGAGGATATTCTTCAATGCATTTGATATGCCATCAATCAATTTGGGTTTGTGAGTGTGCATTTTATCCATTTTAATATTGTTTTAGACAAGGCAAAATAGCCCCATGTTTTTTTCTTTTGCATTGTAGCTACCTGTTTATTGGTATATTGTTTTTTTTATTACTGAGGACTTGGAGGAGTCCTATCCTACATGCAAATACCTCATTAGGGTAAATTAGTTTCACTTATTTACCTTCATTCTCTCCTTTTTTCCCAATAAGGTGTTTCTGATACACGTGGTAGACCTAGATAAAATAAAAGCAGTGCCAATAAAAAAATAAAAATCCATGTTTGCTTTCCAGTCTAAATGTTTGAAGGAGTCTGCACAGATTGAACATTGAGAGTGGGATAGACCTCTACATAAACCTCTTCTACAATGAATATTTAGCCAGAGCTACGTTATTGGTTTGCTTCTAAACCAGTCAGTTAAAGTGCTCAGGCAACCAGTTTCCCTTTACATGAAACTTATCTGATAATGCATACCTGCTATTCATGGGACACCTGCACATTTTTTTCTGTCCAACTGACAAATTTAAAAAAAATGAAAAAAATTGTGTTGAAATATTTTTTGTTTTGATATTCTTTATTTTTCACTCAGCATGTTAGTAGTACAGTATAATATAGTATCATGACAATAAATACATATATAAGTACGTTCTTTAAAGACATCAGGGTATCAGGCTTGTAAAAGACATGCTGAATGAGATATTTTGTGTGGGTTTAAAAAAAAACCCCCAAAAAACCCAATAAAGTAGAAAAAAAATAAATAAAACCAAGGTAGTAACTACAAGGTAGAGAACAAACTAGTAATCCATTGTGGGCATAAATGCAGGTCCGTGGAAGAGATATTTGTTTTTAATAAAAGAACCAACAAATTCAGAGAGAGCTGATGCACGTATTAGTAGATCCCAGCATGTATTAATTGACTAGTTTAAAAAATTTCATTACTTTACTCTCTGTGTTGCACTGAAATAATGAATTATTCTAGTAAAGCTCAATTAATGAGACATTATGACTAGTCTCACTAGACCATGCACTTAACTGAGAAAAATTATTAGGTTTCTAAGGAGTTCCAAAGACTTGCTCTTGCTCTGGCTGGAACCTATTACAAGTTGAAAAATACTTGACATCCAGATATATTATTTTCATATTTTAAGTTATTTTCTCTGTCATATTGCCATTCCTCTTTTCTTTTCCTTACAATTGTCCCCACAGTCTTGTTCTGATGTTCTGAGGGTTCTTCTGTGATGATCATCTACTGTACATACCCATTATTTGCTCTTGGTTAACCATGGTATTTGCTATGTGGAAATCTCATTATAGAGACGGGAATCTTCTTTTATTTCTCAGTATTATTTTCAAATATTTAAATACTTCATGCGTCTACTATGGTCCTATCATCTACACTCTACCCTCATTCTCATCCTCCTCTCAACCCCCCTTTTTTCTATTTATATTTTTTTTTTACCCTGTCATTATATTTGAAAATTATTGATTAAACTATATGACTTTCTTAGATGTTTACATCTTATGTTTGGAGTGATCAATAACAATTGATTATATAAAAGGGCATTACTGCACTTGGGGGAATATAACTGAACACAATTTCTATCCACAAATTTCACAGCACTGAGGACAATGTTTTTTAAAAAGTTTAGAAAAAAAATCACATCGAATGTTGATAGAACAAGGTGGTAAACATGGTGGTAATTTTTTATTTATTTTTACGTTTGAGTTGAATGGTTACAAAAAATTTCCCAAATATTGGAATCTGCAAAACATTACAAAAATGTAAATGCCTTAGTTTAAATGTTTACAATTATTGTTAAAAAAATAATAAAACAAGCTTTAAAAAAAAGTATGCATTTGTGACACCATTTTATCTAGTAGAATAAGTTGAATATACTTATAAAATTTACATCATCAATATAACCAAGAATCAATAGAATGCACAATATTAATTATTTTAAAGCCCAATCAAGGAACACATTTATAGCAATATATGCAAAATAAAGAATATTTTTCTCTAAACACCAAAACACAGTCTTCGGGTTTTGAATTGGCTCAATTGCATCCATGGAATGTATCTTACAACATTTTATGATGTCCTAAGGGGCCCTTCTAGAAAGCTTAGTTTTTTATGCTGTCTGCCTTTGCTCTGTCCATAGTTTTATGAAACATTTTGGGTGAAGCCACCCTCATTTCTCTCAATACTGATGCCTCCTGTGTTGAAACAAATCAGATAGGAAAGAGAACACATTATCTAGTGGAGAGGATGAAATATATAGGAACACTGTCCATCAAGATTTAAATTGACCCACCAATACATTAGGCAACTAGATCATAGAATCCTTTTCACATGGTCAAACATATAGCAAATGGTAAGTCTTGGTACACAGAGATGCTTTGGTCTTCACAATTAAAGTCAAAATCGTGCAGAGGGAACTTGCTGGCATTTTGGATCTAGGCTGCCAGTATGGGTGGGACCAGTCTAATATGCTTCAGATATGTTCACTCTGTAATGGCACAAGATGAGCTAAAACCAGCTTGAGCGGAGACCCACCGAAGGGCAGGCTAATTGAGATATTGTCTGTTCTCACCTCTCTATCTTCCTGTTTTTATTTCTGATACCAGTCATAACCTGATATGAATTTCACTCATAACAGCAATTATGTCCTTAGAGGCCGCTGCCTCTACCTGCTATGGTGGTAGGTAGAAATGTTTACTTTTTCTAATAGATTTACTCTACTGTTTCACCTAATATAGCCTATATTGCAGTATTTCCTAGATGGACCTAGTATTAGCTTAATATTCTCTGTTAGAATTGTAGAAGGAGAGAGGCTATCTTTAGCTAGTTGACCTGGAGATTCATTTTGATATGAACTGCAGTTTGACTGAATCTGCGTCAATCTGGTGATACAGTTGAATCACTTACCAAATGGAATGCTTGTGGGGTGGGGTTGGCTGGGGAAGGAAATGTGTATGTCTCTTAACCTCACTTAACCCTTGTGTATGTCTTGCCCCCATTTAAACCATGTGTGTCTTTTAACCCCCTCTCATTAACTCTTTTTGTCTCTTATTTCCCCACCCTTTCTTTATTTTACTCCAACTCTCCCACCCTTTGTGCCCCTTATTCCTTCCACTGAACCTTCTCATTCTCTATCATGGTCTTGCATGAACACTGCAGAAGATCTTCATCATTTATTTGGTCAGCCAGCTTCAAGCAGCATGCACAGTAGAGGGGCTGGGATATGATGCCATTTATACTCTCAGCCCTCCATATTTTGCATAGGGTGAACAAGTCAGATTGAGCAGAAGATAAACTCCATACTACAACCAATGAAAAGTGGGAGGCTGGTACTCTGTGCACCACGGTCCGGCCTACCATCCAAGGTAGACTGCCACCCCTCCCTATGCTTTTATACACTACTAAAGCTCAAATCACACACATATACACATACAGGTACATCAAGAGTGAAAACACACATGCATGCTCGCATGCACTGGATTTGTGAATGTTACTAAATTTAATTTAGAATATATAGATGAGCTTACTGGCATAGTTCCTCTTAAACCACTAACATGATATCACTTATAGACTTACATCAAATGCTGCAGCAAAGATTAGACACAATATGCAAGCAGATGGTAACATTCAAGTTTTTTAAGAAAGGTGAGAAGAACCCTGCTCAATTGAGCTTACATTCTAAAGGTGACATATTATCATTATTATTGGACTAAAAACTCATGGGGCATCACAGATGCCTCATTTACGCACACCCTATTATTAAATATATCTGCCAAGAAGTGTTTAAATTCCATTTAAAGTTTATTAAAATTGATCCTAATGGAGACTCATCAGCACATTATATTAATTGAGCCCACAGTGCTTCCGATTATATTTTAAATCAACTTTTCACAGCATTAAAAGTGACAAAAATAACTATTATATAGATTATGTTAAAATCTAAATGATCAAATACGACATTTCCTAAAATATACTACACTTAAGGCTGACATAAAAATAACCTTATTAGGCAAAGTAAAGGATAGTGTAATTTATGTCACAGGATGAGTCTTGGCCAATAAAGATTATTTGCAAGGTTGAGGAATCTTAGGAATGACACACATTTATGCTAAGGATGCTGTATTGTTGAAGAACAAGGGGCACTGCCTTCCAAGGTCCCTCTATAAAACATTTATAGTATGAGAATAAGGTAAAAATGTACTAGTTTAAATTATATTTTATATTTATTACCCTGGAAGGTTTGTAACTAAATTTCTATAAACTCATTCAGAAGAAAAAAAATATTATACAATGTTGTGCCTCCAGGATCATTTTTGAATGCAAAATTTCTAGCATGGCTTTGAATATAAATGGAAATTACTCTCCACTTGCTACATTAGCAGACAGGGAAATTAAAGGGACACTAAAGTCACCACAACAACTACAGCTTAATGTAGTTGTTCTGGTGAGTATAATCATTGCCTTCAGGCATTTTCATGCAAACACTGCCTTTTCAGAGAAAAGGTAGTGTTTACATTGCCCCTAGGGACACCTCCAAGTGGCCACTCCTTAGATGGGCACTGGAGGGACTTCCTGGCTCAGGGCTGGCACAGTAAGCAGCGCTGCTGTTCAGCGTCCCAACACGCTCTGCATGGGGGTGCTGAATTTTCCTCATAGAGATGCATTGCGAAGAAGTGCTGTTTGGCCAAAATTGTGTTTTTTGCTGATGGAAAAGCATTGGATTGGCAAAAAAATCTGCAATTCTGATGATGTCATCAATGAGGCGGATCGGGGGCGGGGTCAGCGCCGGCGGACCCGTGCGGCACTGGAAATAAGGTGAGTTTTAAATATTTTTAAGGGTGTTGAGGGGGGGCAAGCACCTAAATAGTTTTTTTAGCACTATAGGGTCAGGAATGAATGTTTGTGTTCCTGACCCTATAGTGTTCCTTTAATCATTGCTAGATGTGTGCTTGATTTCGCCTTCACCTCTTAAAAATATATCCAATCACTATGAAAAGATACAAGTCTCTATATAATATTTCATTTGTTTTATTTCCATGTGTTAGCCAGGAATAGACAAGCCATGTCGGTCTAGTGCAAGGTGACGATTGTTGCGATATCACCTTTAATATCCCTGGACTTTATTGAAGAAGATTGTTTTTATAAGCAAACCAGTGGGGATGCCCTACTTTTGTCACCATTTTTCTTTTTGCTGTTGGATATATATATATCAGTTGTAATCAAAACTATTCAAGCCCTAATAAAAATTAGGTCTATTTTTCAGCTTTCAGCTGTTAGCAATGAGCATATCAAACAAAAGCATTTGAAATAGCTCAACACAACAAATCCTTTAAGTTGTTTAAGTTGT